TCTGTAGTTCCCACTCTGAATTTATGAAGAAGTATGTTAAGTAATCCATGGGATGGCCTCAGTGGGCCAGGAAAGGTTGTGGGGACTCAGGAAGGTGGCTCGCCAATGAGGACAAGTAGACAATAAACCGCCTATCTTCGTTTCATCCTCACAATTGTTCTAAGAAGTGACACTAGAAGTATCTGGGTAAACTAGCAAAGATAAGTGAAGATGAAAAGCCCACTGTTGGTGGGGATGTGGGGATACAGGGCTAATGTCATCGACAACACTCCAGAAACAACTCATCCACAAGGGAGAACCACGGCAACAGCTCAGAGGCTGCAATTACACTAGAATTCCACTTTTGAGAAATAATCTAAATTGGGGGGAGGAGGTGGATACAGCTTGCACAAAAACACTCACAGGGTTCAAAAATCATAAACAAATATATTACGATGAGTTTTAAAGCCTGAGCTTCAAGGTCTAATTCCTCAAAGAATACTCCAGAGCAATTTCACTGATTTTAAATGACTTGTGTGTGCACCATGTCAATATATGAAGAGGTATATGGAATGGCATTCACCTCACATACAGCTACAACGACCATCTCAAGCATAGCCATGTCCAAGAGCCCCCGCAGCAGAGCAGCCACCCACGGCAGCGTGGAGGACAGCCTGTCAGCTCCCCCGACTACAGGAAGAAAGGAGGACGGTGCGCATGCCAACTGCCTAGCTTTGGGGACTGAACGAGCTATCGGAAAAAAGAGCTGGTGCTGTTGCCACGGCTGATTTTACATCTTTGTAACCAAGAAAGGAGCTTGCCTGAGTCAAGAAGTCTCATTTAACATTCTGAAGTGTGGGAGGGAGGGAGGGAGGCAAGAACTGTCATACGGTTTTAGCAGCCACCCCTGCCTGCCCTGGCTGGCTAATGTGGGATCCACGGCACAGGGAGGAGCAGGTTATGTGGAAGGCAGCTGGAAAGTGAAGGCCATGTCTACACTGGCCTGCCCGGAGGTCAGAAGGTCAGAATCTCTAACCAAGGAGCTGGGGGCGGTGGCAGCAGTGCAGCTCCGGATGCCATCCCTTTGCATCCTTCTCATCTCATGCGGCCTCACAGTGCTGTGATGGGAGACCTGCACTGGTGTCTGGGGCTGCCGTAACAGGGAACAACAGACCAGGCAACTTAAGGCAATACAAATTTATTATCTCCCAGTCCCATGGGCCAGAACTCTGAAATCAAGGTGTCAGTAGGGTCACGCTCCTGCAGAGACTCTAGGGGAGGATCTTTCCTGCCATTTCCAGCTTCTGGTGGCTCCAGGTGTTCCTGGGCTTAGTGGTTATATCATTCGTGTCTGCCCCATCTTCACATGGCCTTCTCTGTGTCTATCTCTGTCTTCTCCTGTTTCAGGAGAAGACAGGTGTCACTGGATAATCCAGGATGATTCCATCTTGAGAGATCCTTAACTTAATCATATCTACAAAGACCCTTTTCCCAAATAAGCCCACATTCACAGGATATCTCCAAACCTTTAGAGCAAAGCCCTCAACTCTCTTTAGCCATCCCCAGTGCCTGAACAGGGTTGGGTACTTAATGATAAGAAACAAACAAACACTGGAGATCAATCAGACTACAGTGCTTAACTTTGTTGGAAGGGTGAGAAATGGAAGTCCAGCAAGGCTAAAGAGATGACCCAAAATCAGGCAGCTGCTTGACAGGGGGCTGCAACCCAAAGCCTGCCCCTCTGATTCATTTGCAGTCCCTCTGCATCCACACGCTCAAAGCAGTGTGCCAAGCTCCACACAGCAGACACGATGCAGCAAGCAGGAGGCAAACAGGATCTTTGTGAATCAAAGCAATCGGCTCATTAATTCACAATATTATCTCATATATGTAATCAGAGGAAACGATGTGGGCCTAAAAGGTCACACATAAATAAATAATTCAATAAAGAAGACAACAAACTGCTTAGCTCCTATAAACAGCAAAGTTTCTGTGATACACTCTGCATTTACCGCACTAGAGGCTACGTGGTCCAGAAAGAGGTGGAGGCAGGCAGAGCCCTGCATGGGAGCACTATGGGAAGAGTTTAAATGCTCTCCATAACTCCTCTTTATTCAGGTGCTTGATTTCTCACAGGTGAAGGCGCATTAGGAACGCAATGCCATCTACTGATAACAAAGGCACTTTAAGGAACTATGGGAAAGAACTCATGCAGTGTTTCAATTGTAGAGGGATTTTCAGCAGAGAATATTTAGGAGCCGTGTTCACGGCAGTGACAGGTGCCCCTCAGTCTGCAATGGTTCTGCTGAATTTCTATAAACTCTTTGAGTAGCAGGTGTTTGACGAAAGCTAACTACAAAAACTAAAGGCAGCCAGGGCACAAATAAAGGCTGCACTCATGAAGAACACACAGGTGGAGACAGGCCTGCCAGGGTTGTGCTATGGCCCCAAGGGCCCTGGCATGAAAGTTGAACATCCAGCCATCCTCTTAAAGCACAGCTCCCCCAATCTCCTGCCTGGTGGCTGCATCTCACACATTTACCTAACACAGGGAAGACTCTGAAACCCACACTGGGGACCTACACTCCTCCCTCCTCATGTTCTGCTCCACGGAGCCTTTCGGCTGAAAGGGAGCAATGCTTCCCAGCCCCGACAGGTCTGAGCCTTCTCCAGAGACTCCCGTTTCTCACAGCACTGGAAAAAGCCTTCTGGGACAAGGCAGGCATGGGTTTGAGGTCTAGCTCTACCCACTTTGCAAGCCACTTACCTTCTCATAGCCTCAGTGTCCCAATTTGTAAAATAAGTTTGCAGAGCATTAAACAGCATTGTAAGGCACCTCACAAAGAGCCTGGCCCAAAGACTGCGTTCATTGAATGGCAGCCATTATTAAAAGAAGTTAATGTTTTGGCTACTAGCCACACCCCTATTCCACTTGTACTATACATACAAGTGTATAAAACGCACACAAAAAAGAAACATGGCTTTGAAATATCCATGAAGAAGTTAGAGTCAGAGTCACTTCTGTCAACAAAACCCTTAAGAGTTGAGCTATGTATTAATAATCACATATTTATGCAAATAGTGTACAGTAAAACATTGGTACCCTGACTGTAATCCCAACAGATTCCAAATACGGTGGCTATGGGCTCAGAGACCAGTGACTAAGGCTTTGGGCTTCTGCATGAAGTATCTACAAAGTGCAACCGGACCACATGGGGAAGGCTCACAAGAGCTCCCCGCTCAGAGGGAACCAACATGAGAGCATCATGACCTGCTCCATGCTCTGCACTGAGTTCACCCAACAGAAGGCAGGAGAATCAAGTCAGTGTTTTAAGGCAGGGCTGTCATGACCTCTCAGTCCATGGAGAAGGCAACCCCAGGATCATGGGCTCACTAGTGCAATCCAGGCAGCCAGGGCTGCACCTTCAGAGGTCTAGCTAGCCAGCCCCAGTACTGCTAGTGCATCACTCATGCTCTCATACCTCCACAACCACGTGAAGCTCAAGTGAGGAAGAGGCCATAACGGCATCTGCAAAGTCAAATATGACATAAAGGAAAGGAACTGGTAGTAGTCACAGGAGCCCATAGCTTGGAAAAAGGCTCCAGGCTGTGTAATTAATGCATAGGTTTTATATGTCAGGGGTCAGGGGATGAGGAACTGAACTGCTGGGTGATGGGGTGATCATCACAGTATTTGTAGGCAGGAGAAGAACACTTCTCTGGTCTTTGACTACTGAACGCCACAGGCAGGGGAGCACACAGGGTGAGATTTAGAACAAGAACCACTGTCATCTGCCGCTGGCCATCAGCAGAGGTAGGCCCTGGGTGGCCAGGAGAGTCTGAACTGGGATGGGTCAGTCCTAGCCCCACTGCTGGAAACCCTATACACCACACATACGGCCTCACGTAGGGCCTAAATAGGAGGCCCTGTTTAGGATGAAACGCTCACTAGGAGAGGGAGCAGTTGAGGCCACCGCAGCACCAAGGAGCATGCTGTTTGTGTCCAGGTTGGCCCCACCTTTGTGTAGCCAGAGTGAACTCCATCGTCCAGGCTTGATATCAAGACTGGAATTAAGGTTGGTTCAGGATCCTGCAGCACTGACAGAATACCCTCCTTTCAGTACCTGGCCCGCATGTCCCTCCGAGCATGAGGGCAGCCAGGACAGAGTCACTGTGGGCCCAAAAGATAGTTTGTCCCTGCGAGTCAGCACTGGCCAGGGAAGCCCAGGCAGAAGCCTGCCAAGCACGTCTTACAGCAACCAAAACAGATATCTTTATTGCATATTTTGCACATGTGAAGAATATATCTGTATAAAATTCTAAAGACTTTTGTCCAGACTTAATATTTTTTTCACCTTTATCCCTTTTACCACGCCCTGTAAGCACCCCAGCAGGAGGAAAGAGGAAACAAGTTAATTCAGAACATGTTGTGCCTCAATGTATCTGTAGGTGACTGCCACTTGGGCACCAGCACAGAGCCACCACTGACAGGGTTCAAAGCTTTCACAGGGCAGAAGGAGGTGAGACACCAACAGATCTGGTTCAGGCATGCAGCCCAATTTGTGAGTGAGTCTGCTAACTGGTAACATGCGAGCTGTTCATTCGGATTCACACCTTAATCTTACTGTCCTGAACTCTTAGCTAATGCCTAACCAGCAGCTGGGTAAGGAGAGCCAGTTGGTCAATGAGCCTGATTCTCTGAATTTATTAACTCTGCACCCTCCAGAGTAGCATCTGTAAAAATTCAACCTACCTTTTCATTTTCAATTTACTTGTTTTTGCCTTAGATGTAATAACAGTGGAGCTCTTTGGAACGACCAAGACCTCAAAGGGCCAAAGCTCAAGTGCCCACAGAGGCAATCTCTGAGCAGTCTGGAAAATGCTCAGGAAAACCCATCTGCCCTAGCAGCTGAAATTAACAGCCTCACTGCTTAAGTGTAAACAGGTTTGTTGGTCAAAAGGGGCATCACTGCAGGTTTGACGTCTACCTGGGAACCCTGCACACAGGTGCCCAAACTTACCAAAACACACTTCCCGGGCTCGAGACTCCAGAGAGAACTCTCAGTGTTGATCTTGTGAGTAAGCTTCCCTTCCATGAGGACACGCTCCCCATTTTCCTCCAGCATGGCCACACGAATGGAGCTGCTGCTAAGGGCCACTGAGACCTGAGGACATAGCAGAAGAAAATCATCTCTCCTATCAGGGTGACCACTGGTGTTCTGTATAGTGGGAGGGGTGACAGTTTCCAAGGTACCTGACTGCACACTACAGCGTTGTCATCAGGCTCACCAGGCATCTCAGTGAAGAAAACCGTATCAGCCTAATTTATACCTAGAGCAACCTGCAGATGTCAGCTCATGTAGGTAAATCCACCAAAAAATCTTTCTCAGCATAACTGGTAACATAAAGTGCTATGGTGGAAGCTGCTGTGACCCAATCTTCTTCTCCCTTCTCCAGTTAAGGGAGACCAATTGTCACCGCAAAAAAGTAAGCAGAGGAGACAAGCGGTGAGTATTTTTCCCTTGCCTCCCCTTGTGGCTACCTGGGAGATGCAGGAGCCCAGCCCTGGACCACAGCAACCAAGAGAGCTGACGGGGCTGCACATCCTGAATTGCTTACCCCAGGACTGTTGTACAAGAGACAAGCACCGCCTCTTCCTTCTGTGAGCTACTGCACTGCCTGGTGACTATAGCCTGGTCTTCATCCAAGAGTATGAGACCAATTCCTTTGATTTTGGAAGGCAGCTATGCTCACCATTATACCACCAACGTCCCCACATGGTTTTGCATTTTGTCTCGGTTCTTTACAAAACCAAGCCTCTAAAAGCCTCAGCTCACCTTCGTCCCTCTGAGCCTGTCCTAGGCAGACAATGGCCCCATGGCCCTCCCCACTGCCCTAGGAACACCTATCCCTACCCCACCACTTGTCTGTCTCCAGAACTGGACTGGCAGCTGCTGGGAGTAGGATTCCTTTTACTTCATATCATGTATTCCAGCCAGCAGTCTCCAAAGCAGGGTATGCGTACCCCAGGGGGTTCACAGGTCAGTAATTAGAAGAGGAAATAAAACAGAACTTCCATTTACATTTTGTATCTGTATAAGGCATGCATTAAGAAGACACTGGGATCAAGTACTTAAAACTTTTTTCTAATAGGTATGTGGAATAAAAACAATTTGGAAGCTACTCTCCATGTCATCTGGTAGGTGACTCATTAAATGCTTATAAAATGATTGGAAAAAAAGACAACCCAAACTGATAGGTTTTCCAAACTGGAGTTTAGTATTTGCCAATGAAATACAATACCATAACCTAACTGTATTTTAAATATTCATAAATAAAAAATGGAAATGGAAGAAATGATGTGCAGGAGTCACTGCTGTCAGACAGTTTTTCTTTTTCTTTAAGAGACACGGCCTCACTGCATTGCCCAGGCTGGAGTGCAGTCGCGTGATCCCAGCTCACTGCTGCATCAAACTCCTGGGCTGAAGCAATCCCTCCACCTCAGCCTCCCAAGTAGCTGGGACTACAGGCAAGTGCCACTATGCCTGGCTAATTTTATTTTTATTTTTTGTAGAGACAGGGGTCTTGCTGTTGCCCAGGCTGGTTTCGAACTCCTGGCCCCAAGCGATCCTACTGCCTCAGCCTCCCAAAGTGCTGGGATGACACATATGAGCCACTACATCCAGCCCATCAGATAGTTTCTAAATGAAAGATAGTTCCTGAGCCATGCAGTGAGGGGAGAAGGTGGCAGAAGGCTGCCCACTGCAGGACACAGTGAAGATATTCTGTTAGGCATGGGCAGCTCTGCCAGGTTCACATGCAGACTCCAAGGAAACATCCTCTCATGAGACCGCAATTCCACTTGCATGACCTTTCATAGGGGAATTTACCATGGAAAAGGGTATTTACTTGGCTAGTCCTATTGAACAATAGGCAACTGAGCTTCATTCCTGACCTTCTAATACCATGAGGAACGTGAGCAAATGGAACAATAGATCCACTCACTCTTGAAATGAACCAGACACATGTTGGGCCAAATCATGTCTAACCATAAACTTGTGTGCAATGGAAACATGACACAGAGGGCCCAAGGCTCCTCGGTCCTGCCTTCACAAGAACAAGCTCACTTAACAAATATAATTCTCCCACCCAGCTCTATATAACATAATTTCCAAATTTGGGGAAGCTTCTCACACTGCCTACCCAGGGGAATGAACCAAATCATCAAGGTAGAAAACCAGACAAGAAATGCTTCCAGAGGTCCCAGGTGAAGATGTCACACTGGGAACAGACAGTCAACTTTCTGACCTCTTGTGACCTGCAGACATAAAAGGCATGAAGAGAAAAAACCCAGATAGTGAAAACAGGGGAAGAGGGAGGCCAGGAACAGATGAGATGTCAACAAATCTGCGGAAGACAAAAGGAGGAGGGACACAGGAGACAAATTCTATGGCATAGGAGACATCCAGAAGCCACAGCTACATGGGCTCTAGCTGGGAGTCAGCAGGTATGCAGGGCAGGAGCAAGGCCAGGGGCACATGTGGGAACTGCTGTGGCCCTGGATGCCCCATTGAAAGGGACAGGAATCCCTCTGTTTGCTACAGAAGAATGGAGGACCTTGCTCCAAAGACACTGACCAGCAGTCTGAGGACCTAGTGTGGATGCCTGTGTGTCAAGTGAAGTCCTACTCACTCAAGCATTAGGATGGCCAAGACCCCATGTCCTGTAAAGCAAAGCTGACTGGTCAATCCACTCAGCTGTCAGTGGTGGTGGGAAGAGCAGACTTCAGACACACAGTAGACAAACCCATCAATACAGTCCCACACTCAAGAGAATGGGAGAAAAATATTTTTGTATTAAAAAAAAAAAGGGCCAGGCATGGTGGCTCACACCTGTAATCCCAGCACTTTTGGAGGCCGAGGCGGGCAGATCACCTAAGGTTGGGAGTTTGAGACCAGCCTGGCCAAATTGGAGAAAAACACATCTCTACTAAAAACATCTCTACTAAAAAAAACATCTCTACTAAAAACACAAAATTAGCCAGGCACCAGTGGTGTTGCATGCCTGTAATTCCAGCTACTATGGAGACTGAGGCAGGAGAATAGCTTGAACCCAGGAGGCAGAGGTTGCGGTAAGCTGAGATTGCACCATTTCACTCCAGCCTGGGCAATAGGAGTGAAATTCTGTGAAAAAAAAAAAAAAAAAAAAATTACTAGAGAACTGAGGACTGCATCTTATGAGAAAAAACAGCCAGATGAAAACAAGTAAAAAAAATAAATAAATAAATACAGAGCTAATTAGGAAAAAAGATATCCAAAATTTTTCTATTTTATGTCTTCACAGAGATCTGAGAAGATACTATATCCATATAACCAGAATAAAATATGAAAATAGAACAATTAGGCCAAAAAGAAAGAACACAAGAATTTAAAATATAGTAGCTAAAATTAAACTTCAATAAAGAGGCTGGAAGATAAAGTCAAAGAAATCAAGGTAGAAACAGAGATCAATTCAGGCAATCAATTTGGCATTCCAGAAACTATGACAGTACTAAGATAATTTTCCAGAGCCAAAGAAAAATATGCCTCCAGATTGAAAAGTCCCACCAAGAGCTAAGCAGAATGAATGAAAGACTCATGGAATTTTATGACACTGAGTGTTTTTAAAAAGGTCCTAAAAGTTCCAAGGAGGAGAAAAAGCTTACTCACAAAGAGATGGAATAGACTTCCAGAATCAGTAACACTGGGTATAAGAAGATAACCCTTTCAATCTTAATAAGGGGAAATTATTTTTCAGCTAGAATTCTACATACACCCAAATTGAGAAATAAGTGAAAAGTTAAAAATAAATGCATTTGAAGATATACAATTCTACATAAAATATCACTTTGAGAAAAACAAAATGAAGATGAAAACTGAAAAAGAGGAATATCCAACTCAAGTCCAAAACACAGTGTATTTAATCTAGATATGCAGGAAGAAAATACCAGGAGTGTAGCTATACAGCAGAACAGGAAATAACCAGTCTAGAGCGGAGTTCAGGAAGAAAGAGATTTCTAGACAATACACAGTATTAATGAATCTGGCTAATTCTGAGGTTACGATGAAAGTATACTATTTTTGATAACAAGATAAAAAAGAAGGGCAGCAAGAACCCCCAGGAAAACAAGAACGATTTAAGAGATTCCTGATCCAAAGGATGCCAGTGAAAATGGTGGTTACTACGGACCTCCAAAAAGCTCTCCTCCATAAAAGCAACCAAAAAGCTGGCAAAAATTGTCAGTATCTTCTTACGGATTTTGGAAATTAACCAAAGGTTTGTAGGAACCCAGGGAGCATTAATTCAAGGAAAACAACCACATCTCAGTAAGAACAGTGAGCTCTGTGATATTTTAACTTGGCCTAGACCCATCCCCACTCTCCAGGCTCTCAGCAGGCCGCATTCCTGGTACAGCGTAGCAGCCATCGCTGGAGAAAACAGTGCTCTCAGAGCTCTTTCAAAGCTTCATTCTCAAAGAACTGTCATTATTTGACCTGTCTGATGGTTCCCTGTCAGACCTCATTTGCAAGACTGACTGTTTCTGGCTAAACTCAGAAAAGCCTTCCACCCCATCCAGGAGTGTTTGTTGAAAATACAGGCAAGTGTTTTAACTTTGCAGCCCCCTGAGGTGGCAGATAACAACTGAGGTAAACCAAAGGCAAAGGTGGGAAATAAAATGTCCATGGGGACTTTGATAAGCTTTGACATTTTTTCCCAGGAATCTAGAAGGACACATGAATGTATAGAGCTTCAGTGCATGCTCAGGGAAAACCTAAGAAGGCCTTAAGCTCTCACCTCTGGCTGACTTTGACTCAACATCAGCAGGAAATAAAGGCTAAGGCAGTTTTTAACTGCTGGACCAAGCGATGAAGGTATGCTCCAATAGGCAGATGAAGTCCCTCGACAAAAACACGTGTTTACTGATCCCAGGGGTTTAAGGAAATCACCATCCAATAATTACTTGGCCACCAAGTTGACCAAGTAGAGATTTCACGAGTGAGACATAATAAAGAATACAAACGTTACAGAATTAGTTCAGAAAAGTCATTAAATAAGAACAACTATATCACATACCAATAGCAACCATGGGGAAGAAAGGAGCATCTGATTTCCTGAGTCACCCCAT